AGCCGTCGTCGCAGTCGTCGTCATCGTGAGTAGTAGTAGCAGTAGCAGTAGCAGTAGCAGTAGCAGTAGCAGTAGCAGTAGCAGTAGCAGTAGCAGTAGCAGTAGCAGTAGCAGTAGCAGTAGTAGTCGTCGTCGTCGTCGGAGTAGCAGTAGCAGTAATACTCAATAATATTACAACAATACGAAGAGTTGTAACAAATAAGCTTGAAGAAGCCGAACCTTGCATCCTGAACCCATTCGGGGATCCTGAGAGTATTTGCTGCGGCCGCCACTGCGCCGAAGGGATCGAAGTGCGCTGCCCGGTGGGCTGCCGGGCGCCTGCAGAGACTTTCGGGCTTCAAGGGCAGTGTTGTGTCCGGAATGTATCAGGGATCTAATGTAGGCCTTAATAATTAGAATAGAGCTTTTGGGCTACCTTGTAGTGTTATTATTAATTAGGACCCAAACAGTAATGTTAGTAATTATGTCGGCATCTATGTTCGAAGGGTCGGCTGGGGTCCTAGAACATTTCGATCAGGGTGCTAGCGCGCTGTATTTTTGGAACAGCTCTACAAATAGTTCTATAGGGGTCCTGTCACGGGTGTAAGGTTTCGGGCAATATTATACACTCACCTATGTTCCCAGCTGTGTTTCTAAGGCGCCCTACATACATTCACCGAGACCTCAAAGTAAACCCTACTTCATACCGACCCAAGGAAGAAAATGTAAAGCCGTGTAAGAACGCTATCTACAAAGCCTTGTTAGAACCCTAGAAGCCGTATAATACCCAGCAGAGACCTTCTAAGAATCCCATGGATAAAGCCCCTACAAGAACCTATATAACACCCCAGCATGAGAAATATAGGAGCCTCAAGAAGTAGAATTGGTATATTGGATAGATCATACCATAACCAGAAACGAACCTTCGGGAAGACTGTTGCTGACTGGTCAGGCCCTATATAGGGCCTCCAGGGCCCTGCACAGGAGCCCTGTACTCGCCCTTCAGGGGCCTTGACAGGCCCCAAGCCTTCAAGGGCCTCCAGGGCCTCCAGGAGCCTCCAAGCCTCCAGGGGCCTCCAGGGCTTATGGGCCTTCAGGGGCCTCCAGGGCCTCAGCTGCGACACCGAGCGCTTAATTTCCAGCCAATTTAGTGCTTATCTCTCGGGCCTTAATTTAGAGTCCTCCAGG